GACGTGTCAGTGTCTCTTTGGGGAGAGGAGGCCCGCACGAGAGTCCCATCTTGCTCTCCCTGGTAGAGTCGAGCAGAATTATAGTAACAGCAGCGTGTGCCGCTTGCCGAGGTGCTGGCTGGTGCGTGGCGGCCGGACTGCGCCCCCTCCAGCAGGGATGAAGATGCCAGCTGGTGCTGGGGCGGGTGATGGCTGGGATGATAAGCTGTAGCAGGCCTGGTCTTGTTGGGACTCTTGTGCTGTGCAGACAGCTGGAAGGCAGAGTGTTACCTGCTTGTAGGCCCTGCCGCAGCTCAGCCCCCTCTCACCAGGATGTCAGTCTGTGTGTTTAGTGCAGGTCTGCTTCTCACCTGCCACACTCCTTTCTTATCAGACCTGTTTCACAGCAGCTACTGGAGGGAACCTGTTTTTTTATTGCTCAGCTCCGTAATTAAGGAGTGCTGCAGCTTTTTTGTTTTGTTTAAGGAAGTGTGTATGTCTGCAAAAATATTCTGAATTTATGGGAATTCTTTATTTTTGTTTGATACATTTTGATGAAAGGGTTTTCCTCTCTTTTTAACCCTATTGGAAGTCAGAATCCCTTTTAATGATAGTATTTTCCAGTGTTTGGAAGAGAGTGCTTTTGAAGACGTTTTCGTCTGAATTGTTTACTAGTCTATATACATTTCTCACCAAGCCCTTGTCAGGACTGTATGATCTGGGACCAGGAAGATGTTGAAAAAGAGATGTAATCCTGTGGGAAGGATGGGAATCTCCTGCTTGAGATGTTTATCCACCACAGTTGCTTGCTGATGTGTGCTCAAGCCTCTGCATGATGCCCAAGCACAACAGGAGAATTTGTGAAGCTGGTCTGATAGAGCAGCTCTGAGGAAGAACGACAGAGACTCTCTAGGTCACCTGGGGACCTCTGGAATGTGCTGCGGAGCACTTCATCTCTTCTAGTGCAGGAAGTTTATTTCTGATGTATCTTGGAGTCAGAGATGTCAAAAGGAAATCTGCATCTTGTGTTTGCAAAAAGCTTTGAAAAGTGAGCTCCTGGCTTTTGCAAGGAGCAGTGCAGGCTCAGTTCTGCTCAGTCCTACACCTTGGGCTGAGATTGTCCTCTCTGCTCAGTGTAATGGCTGAATGTGCACGTCACCAGGCCATGTTGTGAGCTGCAGCCTCTTCCTGCATCAGCTGGGGCTAGCTGTTGAGCAGGTTGTGAAACAGAAATCATTTAAATGGAAAAGGGAACTAGAGTAATAACAGCCTGTTAGTCCGATGTCTTTTTCATGAGGCTAGTGATGCTGTTGTTGAATCGTGAGAATGTGAGGAGCAAAGCAATCCAGAGGATTGTTCTGTTCTGGGCAGTGCTAGCAGAGTGCAGACTCCCAGAACCACACTGTGCTGGTGCTCAGTCCTCTGTCTGCTCAAGGCAGATTTGTCATTTATTCCCACTGAGGTCTTGCTTGGAGTAAACTGTGTTCAGGTCTTTGAAAGGAAATCCCCTCTTCAGCTAGTAAGCAGTGACAGGATTCATGAAAGTACGCGCCAAGGTTTGGGGTTACAATATTTCTTAGACAAAGACAAAGAGTAGAGTAAATTGCTGTAGAGTAAATTTTAAGGACAAATGTTTTGTCAGTGGAATAGTATGAAAAGTTATTTTGGACCTTGGTCCAGAAAGAAGCTAATTGGGTCCAGTCCTGGTCCAAAGGCCAGAAGGAAGCTGATCTGGTTCTCTCCCTTAAAATGTGCCCTAGCCCATCATCTGAGATGGTTACCTATTGGGCCTGGCTGCACTGCAACCCCAGTATCTTCTTGGTGTGAAGGCCAGCTCTCTGAATGTCCATAGAGGACAGCGGCAAAAATGAATTCCAGGACCACATTCAGGATTTATTGTTCTTTTTCACAATTATTCCTTGTTCTTGGTTAGATTAGTTTATTGCTTTTGATTTACAAAAAATGGGTATTTCAGTAAGCTGCAAGTGATGAAGGTCTTGAGAAAAAGCTATTAATAGTTTTCTGCTCAGTCATGACCCAACGAGGTTAGAGGATGAGGATCTGTCCGAAATCTGCAAGCTGCTAGCCATGCCTGGGGCACTAGAGGCCTTGCACCTCTGTCTCTGGTTAGTGTAGTGATGAATAGGGGATGGTAGTCCTGATGATTAAATATTTGCAGTCTTCTTCATTCTTGAGCCCCTATAAATTTTTCAGATTTTAATTCAACAGTTTTGTTCAATTCACCAGGCCAGCATCCATGTGTTTTCTTGTGTACAAACCTTTACTTTTATAAAGAGATATAAGTATTTCTTAATCATAAGAGTAGTCTTAAGAATATTATGAATATTATTATTATGAGTACTCATATTCATAATATTACAGATGGGTGTTGCTTGGCTTTTCTGACCCCTGGCTGTTGAAGTTTTCTTTCTAAAGGGGGTTCTGACCCTGTTGTTTTTAGCAGTGTGAGAAGCCACACATGAGAGAGCCCTTCTCCTCCCATCCGCACACATGTGAAGGAGAGTAGGCCATGCTGCCCATCCATGTGGCTCAGAAAGAGGCCCGGTTGTCAACACTGGTTTCGGCACCACTGCTTGGTAGCTTGTTCCAGACTCCCACAACCTTCCCCTGAGGACGTTCCTCCTGTTTCCGACTTGGAATGCAACTTCCAAGTAGTTTCGACTTGTGTCCTTTGGTTCGTGTTTCACAGTTTATTCTGTAGAAGACTACCGTGTTGACTTTTTCAATGCCTTTGAGGATTTTGGATAAATAATCTGGTTCTCATGGATTCTTTAGACAAAGCCTCAGTCTATTTGAACAGATTGGAGGCCCTTTATCTCCCACTGTGACCATTACTCAGCTGCTGCACTGGAATCTGACTGCCTGGGAACTGTGGGATCATTCCTTCTGGAAGATGTTTGCTCTGTAGTCAAACGAGCATAGTTGCGCAAGACTCGCAGCAAGTCCAGTCCTGCAGCACAGCGCAGCCCTGAGCAGTCAAACTGCGTGAGGAACCGTCTGGGATAACCAGCTGTGGCCAGTGTGTGGCCAGTGCTGACCTGACTCTGCCTTTCTTTCCAGCTGCTAAACAGAGCAGGTTTACAGATATTTTTCATATGGGATTTTTTAAAACAAAAGCAAGATATCTGGATTCATTGAGGACGTTTGGAGACGGGCAGATGGAAGTCCAGGAAAGGGAACCTGTTGTAACTGACGCTGAGGGCACGTGTGTGCCCGTCATGGTGCAGCTCCAGGCAGTGGCGGTAGTGTGAGTCTGCCAGCCTGCTCCCCTTCCGGCTGCTCTCTCCACACCCCTCCCCCACTGCCCGGCCACGCCGCGGCCTCACAGAGCAAACAGCCCCGAGCCGGGAGGGGCAATCGATAGCGGCGGGGCTAAAGATCAGCCCTGCTGCTACCAGCCGTGCCCTTGGCAGGTACACAGCAGGGGGAACGTGATAGTCGTCGAGTGACATTCCTCTGCTTGGTGTACAGCTCTCTGATCAGACGGTGTAACACAGTTGGGCCTGTTCAGGTGGCGGGGGTGCGGGAGACCAGCAGGAGAGAGCAGCTTGAATATCTTCTGCTCCTTCCCCTGCACCACTGCTGAGCTGCCTAATCTTGAAGGTGTTTACAGAAGGCAGGTCTCTGGGCTTGTGTTTGCACAGGGAGCTACCCTTGAGTAAACGGTGTGCCCAGCCATTGTCCTGCTGTGCACGTGACCCTGCAGAAGCACTAAGTATCCCGGCAGAGTTTTTCTGTTTTGCTGTCCTCACTGCTTCCTGGTGCCGTGTGGACAGCTGCCTGCCGCACTGGAGTCCTGGAGTACTCATCCATGTAATTTGTGCCACCTAACTGAGGGTGTTGTATAGAGAATTAATCTCTTAAGAGTTCTTCCAGTCAGGGTTAACATTTACAATTTAAGCTGTCATTTCAGCCAGTTTCTTGGAGTTATATGGAGAGAAGGTGGAATGGTGGGCCCCCTCATTTATTGGAAATCTCCATTTGCAGTGATTTTAGGTACTTCTTTGCTGTGTGAGCAGACCTGGAACCATGGGAACAGGGGGGCTGTTGTTCTCACTAACAGCAGACAGAGAGCGGGTCCCCAGTTTTACACAAGTTTATTACATCATCACAGATGCATGCTGTCATTTACAAACTCAGAGCACACACAACACTATGGGGCCAACTCACTATTGTGGGTGACTTGTCAATTAGTAACTATGCTCATTAGTGTGTCCTGGGACACTGTGAGATGCATCTCTCTCGGAGATGGAGCTTGTGGTTAGAATAGTGACTCTGATTGTAGCACCTCAACAACATGGGGACAATCAGTTTTAAATTGGAATGCTGGCATAAGCTCACGTCAGCTGGGTGATTCTTCATCAACCCAAAAAGGCAACAAGACCTGCTGGTCATGCACCTCAGTTTAGTACAAGAGTGCTACCCTACTTGAGGCTGCCTGCTGTCATGCAAAAATGTTGAAATGCAACTTAAGGTAATCGTTCCTCTCCCACGGTGTGACTTGTTACTGTTCTGGCAGTGACGTGTCACCTTCATCAGGCTGGAGTCTGCTCTCTGTCAGAGGCCCAAAGGAACACACTCTGGCTTGTGCTGGGCCCCTTTACTCGAGCTGAGGGCTGTCCTGTCTGAAGTAGTTGCTGTGGTTTTCCTGATTTCTGCTGGTGTTGTCTGTGGCTTAGAAATCTGGAAATTGAACTGGTTATAAAGTAACATGGTAGGGAACTGCAGGTGGCAGTTTACACTAGAATTATGGTGCAGAATGAGTCTTGATCTGTCAAATTTCTGAATGGATTTTTAAAATTAAGACGTGTGTATAACTTAAAGGAGGAACTAATGTTTTTCTATCTGATATTGTGGGAAAGCAGATTAGTTTCAGGGTTAATGTGAAGTGAGTATTGCGCGTCACAGGCATGTTACTTCAAAGTTGGTAAGACAGTACATTTTGAAGAGCAACAACAATGTAGCAGGAAGAATTTAATCTGATATCCTGAGGGAGGTGGGGTATTTGTGTTCAGACCTTGAACATTATTTACCAAGCAACAAATTGAAATGTAGCTTGTGCAGGGTGACTGATGTTCCTAAACGACACTATAGATAGCTCTGAGATCGGACTCATTCCAAGCATGAGTCTGCACTGTCCTGTTTACTGCAAACAGTGTGGGGAAACAGTGTAAATTCATCTTGCCAGCATGTCTCTCATGCTTCCTGAGGGCAATCGCTGATCTCAAACTTGCCTGCATGAAATGGTTTTATCCATAACAACAGAAACGGGTTTGACTGGCTCCTCAGCCCTACACAAATGGCTTTGTAGGGCTGGGTTACAGGAAGATCATTTTTTATATATGTTGTATTGAATTGTGCACTGGTGAGGTCATTTGAGTTCTTTAAAAATAAAGCAGCATGTGTATATAAAACAGTGTTTCTGGACAGTCTATAATGTAAGTTATAGTAAGATACCCTCCCTACATTCGATATCTCTTGGCTTGGCAATCGCGTACGGTTCACACCGTTCATTTACCAGATCAAAAGGAAGGAAATAAAATAATATTGAATAATAATATAAAATAATTTAGACATTTTTAATTCTAAGTGAATGAATAAGTAATACACCCTGCAAAATTAAAATGATAAATCGACAAAGTGGATATGAATGAATCCTAGGGGATAATCAGTTTTCAGGAGGGGGAGATTTACTGATGCTGGTGGAATGGGCAGGTTGTCCACAGGGGGCGCCAAGGAGCAGTGCTGTCGGCTGAGAGGGGTGTGTCTGTCCTCACCGCCCTGTCCTCCCTCCACAGTTCCAGCAGTCAGTATCCAGTGAGCTGCAGGCTCTGGGCAGGAGCTCCTACACGCTCTGTACAGATGGACCCCTCCTGATCCGACAAGCCTTCCACCCTGAGGCCTCCAAGAAGGTGAGCGTGACCCCAACCCGGGTCACATGATTGATGTCACATGTCACATGTCTCTCTCACATGGCAGCTGTGGAGGGTTTCCTCCTTGCTAAATGTCAGCACTACAGTTTCCTGGATGTCTGGAGGGCTTTTCTTCTGAAGTTCTTTTTTCCCCTCCATTTCCTTTGTACTTATTCTCTCTCTTTGCAGAACCTGGTCTTGGCTGATTGTTTCTACTCCTTCGTCGATCTGAGGAAAGAATTTCACAAATGCTGTCCGAACGCGGGCGCGATGAAGGACCTCTGTGCGTCTGCCATGGCAGAGTGTATCCTTGCGTGGCTCTGGGGACAGGGCTGTGACCTGGGACTTGTGCCCAACAGTCACTGCAAACAGCTGAAATAGTCAGACGACTAAGTGCAGATGGACAAAGTCCTCCCAGTCCTCGAGCTGCGGTGGTCCATCAGGGATCCTGGAGAGCCCTGGTCCTTCACACCCATCTCTGACTATGGGCTAAAAATCCCACTAAAGTGGTTTAATTAGACCAGTGATTGGTTCAATTTAATAACTGAAAACTGGGCTGAAGGCAATGTAGCTTTGCAGCACAATGGCTAGAGACAAATATCGATAGATGTCTCCCATTTTGAAATGGGGGTTAGTGCAGACAATGCCTGAAAGCTGGCAGCCAGCTGTTTTCTGTTCTGTCATCTGCTCAGTTTTGCCTTTTCTTTAACGCGCCGCTCAGACTTGTGCCTGCCCTCGCTCATGGAGAAGGCGGCGGGGGTGCAGGAGGTGAAAGCCATGGTGATGGTGATCTTGCACCTTCTCTCCAAGCCCTACAGTAAGTCCACCGCTCATGGCTCCTGGCTGCCCTCTGCTGGCAGACTAGTGGGATTGCTTGTCCTCTGAGAGCTGCACTGTACTTGTAAACTGTTCCCTGGTTTGAAGAAATCTGAAGGATTACACAATAATGTAACACAGAAATGTCCCAGATAATCCTATTTGACTGCTTGTATTCAAGACGTCAGTAATTTCTCTATAGACTCTCACCACAACACTCATTCATGGCAGCTTTAGTTCAATTTTTACATGTAGAAGGGAAAGGATTCACATTTGAATTTTTGGAGTACGAAATTGCCGTCTGCCAGAAATCTTAACCAGAGGATTTCTGTGACCTGAAGAGAGTTCTGTACTGTTCCTGCCTGCTCAGCATCTTTTAATTCAGTTCCTAATCTGCCAGTCCGAGGGCCTGCAGTTACTAGTTCTCTGTTGTGATTTTATTATGGGACCAGTCTGCTCAGTCTTCATTAATTCTTTCCTGCAGATCACAAATTCACCAGCTGTGAAACAGTGAAGCACAAGTTTGAGACAGGTGCCTGGTAAGTGAGGGGAGGGGGCTGGTGGGTCTCGTGGGGCAGTTGTACGGTGGGCTGTGGACTGGGGCAGCTCTGCGTCACACTCTCACCAGGCCTCTCCTCCGCAGCAGCAAGACCGAGGCCGTGGACAGCGAGACGGTCATCCGCGCCAGGGGCCTGCCTTGGCAGTCCTCTGACCAGGACATTGCGCGCTTCTTCAAGGGCCTCAACATCGCCAAGTAAGGAGCTTAGCGGGAGAGCCAGAGCAGCCCAGTCTGCCAAAGGAGCCTTTTCTTATGGTTCTCCTTCTATTTCTATGAACAAAGTGATGTTTAGATATTGGCACTGATGCATTTAGGAAGCATCTTAGGAAAGCATTTTTGTTGAGCCTTTGTTTTCTAACTCGGTGCCCCTCTGGGGTGTTGATAGCTTTGTCCTCCTGCTTCAGAGCCATCTCACGCACGACTCTTGCCTGGCTCTCTCTCTTTCCGTGTTCTTGCGGAGCATGATTCCTGGATCTGCGATTCCTCTCTCTCAGGGGGGGCGTGGCGCTGTGCCTCAACGCACAGGGCCGGAGAAACGGGGAGGCGCTGGTCCGCTTTGTCAGCCAGGAACACCGCGACCTGGCCCTGGAGCGCCACAAGCACCACATGGGCAGCCGCTACATCGAGGTGGGGCCTGCTTCTGGGGCCGGAGCCGGCGCCTTCTTTCATCTCACAGTACGGCACAGAGTGCCCACGCAGGACTGCAGTCCTTCTGAAATCACACCACTTTTCCATTTCCCTGTGCAGGTCTACAAGGCAACTGGGGAGGAATTCCTAAAGATCGCCGGTGGTGAGTTTAGCTGTCATGCGCTCCTGTTGTAGATTCCTATGAGCACCTAATTCACTAATTGAATGGATTCTAGACAATTTAAACACTTTCTAAAGGTCTAAAGTTTAATATTAAAAAGATCCCGATGGATCTGTGGCCTTGTGCTGGTACTTTAGGAGACTGGCCTGTCTTTCCTGCTCTTCACATGGAGTCTTAAGTTCCCCCAAGTATGCCAGACAAACAACAGTGTAAAGTGGCTGATCTTTCAGGGTGGGAGCGAACTGATCCCAACACTGTAAAAGTTTCTGATTCTGTTCATGTCAGGAGTTTGTTGCTTCTCTCACTAACTGAGGGGGCAATCTCAGTATGGTGGAGAATACTCTGTGCCCTCTTTGTCAGGCACGTCCAACGAGGTGGCCCAGTTCCTGTCCAAGGAGAACCAGGTGATCATCAGAATGCGTGGTCTGCCTTTCACGGCCACACCCGAGGACGTTCTGGGGTTCCTGGGGCCGGAGTGTCCCGTCACGGACGGCCGGGAGGGGCTGCTCTTCGTCAAGTACCCGGATGGCCGTCCCACGGGAGACGCCTTTGTGCTGTTCGCCTGCGAGGAGTACGCACAGAACGCCATCAAGAAGCACAAGGAGATCCTGGGCAAGAGATACATAGAGCTGTTCCGCAGCACGGCTGCCGAGGTGCAGCAGGTATGGTCTTCGCCGGTCTCTGCACCGCATACCAGGCCTGTTTCCCCCTTCCCTGTTTCTCACCTGAACTGCTGCAGCAGTCTGACTGCAGTGCAGTGCCACTCCTTGGCCAGGAGGAAGTACTGCAGGAATCGCTGAAGTCTAATAGAGCTGAAAGGACCAAACTAGTGATTGTCTTCTGTAGTAATGCCCTTTTCAATTTAAATCCAGCCCCACTACTGAACATTTTTCTGACTTCAATCCTATTGGACATTTATTGTTTTTGTATCCAAGGTTTTGCTGATGAGATGTAGTGCATTCTGCAGCAGAGAGGGGGTGCTGCAGGAGTAACCCTGGTTTTTGGGGATCCTCTGGTTTTTGTTCTCCCCACTGTCAGAGCTATCAGGTTAAATGAGTTGCCTTAATAATAACCATGTGGTTTATAAGTCAAGGTGGTTATAAAGTGCTCGGAGGAAGTAAACCATAGAGGACAGGGAGTTTCCCCAGGCAGCACCTGACTCTTTTACAGCAAGTAAAACATTAATTTGCCCAGTTAGATCTTTGTTATTATTTTAGTCTCTTATTAATCAGCCGGAGATTCAGTGCATTGAGGGTGGTGCCTGCTGCGCAGAGGCTGGTCTGATGTGCACTTGTCCCCTTGATGTTCCCTGTGTCCAGGTCCTGAACCGGTACATGTCCACGCCGCTGATCTCCACTCTGCCCCCTCCCATCCTGCCGGTGATCCCGCAGCCCTTCATTGCCACGGGCAGCACGCGGGACTGCATCAGGCTGCGCGGCCTGCCCTACACCGCCACCATCGAGGACATCCTGGAGTTCATGGGTGAATTCACCATTGACATCAAGCCACATGGTGTCCACATGGTGCTCAACCAGCAGGTGGGGGTCTGTCCAGCGCTCTTGTCTTTTCTCTCTGGCACCACACTCGTCCCTCCCCCTGGTGTTGACCTTGACCGGACTCTGGACACTCGTCCCTCCCGTGGGCGCTGGCCCTGGCCCTGACCCGACACTGGACACTCGTTCCTCCCGCGGGCGCTATCCCTGACCCGACACTGGACACTCATCTCTCCGAGGAGCGCTGACCCGAATCTGGACACTCTTCCCTCCTGTGTGTGCTGACCCTGACCTGACACTGGACACTACTTTGTTTAGTCAACCCTTTCACTGTCTCTTGGGTCACCAGCTCCTTGATAGCTGCTGCAGTACATACTAAGCAGAAGAGATGTTCCAAACAGGGAGCCAGTCTGAACTTGATTGGTTGCTAGTATCTAAATGATACCTGGATCTTAACCAGTTGTTTTTTTTAAAGAAACCAGGATGTCAGCTTCAACACCATGGCTGGGTAGCTTGTTACAAATCCCCCTTGTGAAAACAAATGAATATAAAACACATTACAGAACTGTAAAACCCACATCTTTATAATTCAAACATTGCATGTGTCCGTAGAAATAGTAAGTTTTAATAAAATATACAGAGTGCAAGTGGGCAGGTTGGTGCTTTCATGACGTGAGCCTCCCTGCCCTGTTGCACTGTGATTTGATCCACTAGAGGCTTTACAAGTGATCAGGTGGTAATGATGAAGCCATTATGATTTCAGTCCTGGCTCATCTATACATGCAATTGAAGTGAAGCGATGTCTCTCGTTAGTGCTGGCTGACCCAGCAGACCGGCGCGGGAGGCTTACCTGTTTCCTCGTCTTCTCCCCATGTGGGTGTCCAGGGCCGTCCCTCAGGAGATGCCTTCATCCAGATGAAGTCGTCGGAGCGGGCGTTTCTGGTGGCCCAGAAGTGCCACAAGAAGATGATGAAGGACCGCTATGTGGAGGTGTTCCAGTGCTCGGGGGAGGAGATGAGCTTTGTGTTGATGGGGGGCACTCTGAACCGCAGTGGCCTGTCGCCCCCACCCTGTAAGTTACCATGTAAGTGGACCCTCATTTTTCTTTCTGACTGTCCTGCAGGGGACTGGGGTAGGTGCAGCACCTCTGACCTCTGACCTCAGGAGCATGCTGTCTTAGTTAATGAAGATGTAGGGAGGGTTTTTCTGTTTGAGTGACCATGGGAGACATGCTTCAGTCAGGGTGAATTGGGAGAGGAGATTAATTAACCGAAATGTGGGCTTCCCTCTGCAGAGGACTGCTTCTTTACAGACTGGAGAAGGAACAAATGGAAAAAGGCATGATCTTGAAAAAAAAAATAGATAAGTGCTGTGGTATAGAAGTGGTATAGAAGTATTTTTTCAGTGGTGAACCCTGAGGTGAGGCTGTGCAGAAGTTTGAGGGCAGTGTAGTTTTTGACTAGAGCTCCTCGGCTCTATATTGAGTGTTAACTCTCAATGTGAGGGCAGAGAATGTAAGACGGCATCCCCAGAAAAGAGCAGATCTTCAGAACAATGGGACAATATCGGGATGAACCCATAATGAAATTGACTTTTTTCTTAACCAAAAGGCATCTTCTTTGAAATCTATTAGAAGGACTGCCTGTTGGGAATCTGAGCATGAGCACGTGTGAGAGACATGCTGACCTCTGCAGTGCTCTTCTCTCATGACTGCTTTTGTATTCTCATTGCTCAGTGTTTCAGTCCCTGGTAGCAATCAGAAACCTTTAATTTCCCTTAACAGGTAAATATCAAAACTTTGTTCAGGAAGTATTTTTGTACATTAGAGCTACTGTGTTCTTTAAGATCATGTGTTGTGTGTGGAGGCAGACTGTGTGTGGACAAAGGCTGTTGTGACTGGCTCGTGCTCCTCTCTGTCTCTCCAGGTCTGTCTCCTCCGGCCTACACCACGTTCCCCGCGCCCACCGCAGTGTTCCCTGCTGAGGCCGCGCTGTACCAGACCCCCGCCCTGCTGGCCACGCCCCGCACCCCCCAGGCCCCCACCCACGCTGCTGCCCCCGCCCTCGCCTACTACCCCCCCCAGCCCCACGCCCAGCTCTACATGAACATGAACATGAACTACACCGCCTACTACCCCAGGTGAGTCCCCCGCGGCCCGTTCTGGTCCTGGAGCCATCAGCCCAGCAGGCAGGGGAGGGGTGGGGGCTTTCCCCCTCTCGGAGGGCAGTCGCACTTGACGAAAGACAGTGGGACAGCATTGCAAATCTCAGTCTGCATTTGCTCTTTGATTGGATGGCCCTCTCTGTGTTGATTTTACACACCTTTAGTTGGGGAACCACCTACCTCTCTTTAATCTAGGGCAGTTTTCCATGCTCTCCTCCAATCGTAGCACTTTTGCTAGAGTAAACCACCCAAGAGTAGCTACTGCCCGTGGGCGCCAGTCCTTGCAGTGGGCCGCTGCCAGTGACTGGGCGACCCACAGAGTGAGCGACCCTGGCCACCTTCGCATCTGCTCTGCCCGACGGCGCTCTCGTTAGCCCTGCCCTGCCCTGTGATTTATGCTTTTTGTCGGCCATTTTCTCTGCCTGCGCTGCAGTGGTGTGAGTCTCTTGGCCAGGCTGTCATAGTAACTGAGAGTTAGTTATCAGCTGGGACTTTGTGTGGTTAAACACAGGGGTTGTCATTTTTAGGTGTTGTTGACACGTACTCTGTCGCCCAGTATGTATGGTATGGAAGAGGTTTGGCACTAATGCTGGTGTCTCTGCTTTGGCTCTTTACAGCCCCCCAGTCTCCCCCACCACACTGGGGTACTTTGCTGCCCCACCTGGCACCATGGCGGCAGCAGTGGCCGCACAGCCCCCCTCCACCCAGATGCTGGCCCAGCCAGGCGCCCTGGTCAGGATGCAGGGGCTCCCCTTCAACACGGGGGTCAAGGACATCTTGGGCTTCTTCCAGGGGTACCAGGTCAGTACTGCTGCTGAGCACCGCCCTCTTGCTCCTCCTCAGCCAGGGGCCAGAGAGCAGGATGTGGTATACCTGACCACCAACACAGGTCAAAGTTTATACAGGCATAACCACAGCTGGCAGTATATTCTAGCTGTGCAAATGTTTGTTTAAAAGGATAAAATTACAGTATGAGCTTGATTAGGCTCTTCTTAAAGAACATTGATGAATGGGCTAGTGTATCCCTATGAGAATTCTTCTCTCTCCTGCCGGGCGTGTTGGAGCCCGTCACCTCTTCTTGCAAAGTGACGTCTAATCAGTCTGAGCCTTTTGGATGCTCTTCAGTTTAAAGTGTTCCCAATGAAGGATTGAAGCCTCAATCAGCAGCATTCTCGCCTCCTGCCAGAACGCAACACCTAAGTGGCCGAAAACTCCTCTCGTGAAGCTCGTGCTCTGTGTGAAACGCTGTGTATTCAGGGCCGCGCAGTTTGGACATGCCAGCAGGATTAGCATCCCTCGCTGTCTGCCTGCACGGGTGGGCTCCGAGACCGGCCTGGTCTGGTCGAGCGTCCCCCTCACAGAGTTGCGGGGGGGCAACCTGCTTGATCAGACAACTCAGGTTTCCACAGGGAAACTGGATCTGGAATGGAGATGAAATTGAAGAAGGTGTATTAAATTGCCCCCCCGGGGATGAATAAAGTATTTTGAATTGAAGATTAGCTGTATTACCAGACTGAGGAACAAGACCAGCTATCTAGAATTTTATCATTTCATCTACATTTGTTTAATTTTATCTGGGGGTTATAAACAACGGAGAGCATGTGAGAAAATGAAAAACGAAAAGCAGACATTTGAAAAAGAGCAGTGAGTCCGACGTGGTCTGTGTTTTGAAGTCCTTTAGCTCGGGGTGGTCCTCAGACGTGAGCCACAGAAGCTAATCTGCTGACCTCCTGTAAGGGAGATCAGAGGTCCCTTTTAGTGAACTCCTGAAATCAGTGAGACAGGAGTTTGACTGTCACCTCTGTCTGTCCTGCTGCTCCAGGGCCAGCTGTGGATGGGGGCTGTGTCCCCGGTGGCCGGTACGAGTTGCCGTTGCTGTTACAGAATCCCTTGTACTGAGTTTGATGGGAGTCGTGGTGGTGCTGAGATACATAGACCATTTTCTTCTTCTTAGGACATCCCTTGTCTGTAGTCCCTCAGAGGTGTCTTTTTTTAATTTTAGTTATCTTTTTTTGTTCTTCATAGTTACCAGACCTGCGCTTTTTCCAAACTCAGAAAAGCACCATAGAAGCACCAGAAAATTCAGTTACATTTTGACATTCACCATTTCTGAATCCATTCTGATATACTTGCAAGGGATCGAGTATAGATCATGGACAAAGCAATCTGAATACTAAGAAGCTGTTGCAAGAAATGGGCTCTGCTGTTTCCTTCTGTGTTTGGCACATCTGGCCCCGCTGATGTTTCACAGCCCTGTAGCTTCTTGGAGTGACGTCACTGGAGAAGGGTTATTGTACAGAAAGGCTATTCCCTTTTCAGGACACGTCTCGGTTTGACACGTCTAGCGCAGATCTGGCAACTCGCAAGCACTGCTGCCACATGACAGGCAGGGGCTGGGTCTGGAGTGTGGTGATGTCATGTCACAGCCCTCTCTGAGGGAGGTGTGCTAAGGTCCCGAGAGAGACTGAGGAGGCAACAGCCCTCCAGGCAGGAGAGCGCTGAGCACTGCCGTGACCTGGAGAACCTGCGCAAGCTGAGCTCAAGCTCCCTCTCCGGTGTTGATCAGTCATTGTGCTTGACATGCATCTCACTGGAGAGCTGATGACCTCCTCTGGCACAGCCTGCTTCTGCAGTGTTGATGTATGTGGAGGATCAGGTTATGTAAGATAGGTCCAGAAGAATGCATGTGTGTGTTGTTCCAGTTTCTCTTATGTTTTTGTTTGCTTGCTTTTTGAGATTTGAGGTGGAATTACATTACAATTTGACATGCTTAGAAAGCAAATCGCATACCTAACAAAAGACAGCAGGTCCTGGTCACAGCCTGTGCATGATGGCATTGTGGAAATTCTGTGCTCTAACTATATGCAGTGCTTGGAGCTGCGAGTGTTTGGAAGTGTGTGTGCCGGGGGAGACTGTCCTAGTCCATCTGCTGACTGTCGCGTGTGTCACACTTGTACTGTAGTATGCTCCTGATGACTACAGCAGCCTAATTCAGATGAGCGATCAGGCACGGAGCTTGATTCAGCCTCCCAAAGAGTGGCTCTGTTTGTAATTGCCCCACCTTTCCAAAATCGGAGAAGGTAAGACCAAGCATGGATTGCACTAGCTGGACTTTATAATAACCTGGGCTTTTTGGGTGGTGCTTTACTAAACAAAAATCATTGATTAATGATTAACGGCCTTTTCTGTTCTGCTTGTTTAGAAAGGATTTTTTCTGTCTGTTCAAATCTGCTAACCTGGATAAGGTTCAAGTTGTTATGATGAATGTTTTCTATTTTAAATCCTCCAGTCTTTCTGATTTGGATCTATCACTTCCAGTTTTCAGAATTTCACAATCATTTGGAATTCCTTTGAAGGCCACAAAATATCTAACACAGCAGGTGGTTTCATGATCATTAGTCATAGAGTGACTGGGTAATGTGTACCCTCTCCTGTTGAATCCGAGTAATGCTGTGTCGTTGATGCACATGAGCAGCTGTCTTCTGCTGTTCCTGCCTTCACCTGCTTTCTGGACCCGAGCCTCCTGAGCGGTGTGGTTTTGTCAGGTCTGGCACACTGCTGCCAGTGGTCCAGTAATTAACCACCTGCCAGCCTTCCAGCTATCCGTGAGCACTGCTGGCCAAGCCGATGGCAGGAGGAGCTCGTGCTGCCAGCCTCCAGACACGCTGGCGGGACACTAGTGTTGCCCATAGTGGGCGGTCTTCTCAATCCTCCCTCAGTCTGCAAAGCTGATGTGAATCTTAAACAGCCTGCAGAGTCGCGTCTAATCCCCGTTTTTAATCCCCTCTGGCTGCCTCTCCGCTGCTCTGCTCCTCTCCGATCAGACCCAGGGCTCTGGGAATGTTACTCCTTCCTCTCCCGTCTCGCTTCAGGGTTTTTTGCCAGCCGGTGCTAGGGCAGGACTGGAACCCCTGGGGTGCGCTCCTTGCCCGGGGGTTCTCGGGTCGGCTCCTGCTTTTCGCTGACGGTGCCTCTTGTGTTGCAGCTCCAGCCGGACGCGGTGCTCGTGTTGTATAACTTCAGCGGGCAGCGCAGCGGGGAGGCCCTGGTGACCTTTCCCAGCGTGGAGCAGGCGAAGCAGGCGGTGGCCGAGCGCTCAGGGCGTCCTCTCGCTGGACACACCATTCACCTTTGTGTGCTGTGACCAACCCAGAGGATGGGGGAGGGCAGGGGGGCTCTGCAGCACAACACTACGCAAAAACCACAATGGCACAAAATGATCAGAGCACTGTGCCCCTCACTGGACTTCCCTACCCACTGTGGACTTGAGTAAAGTCATCCAACACAAAGGAGTCTGTTCAGATTTCTTATTCTGCAGCATCCCTCAAGGAGAAGACCGTCTCATGCAGCCACTGCCTAGATAGGTGCAGCAGACATATTCGTGCATCCAGGTTCATCACTCATCTGATAGTCAAGAACCGTTGATTTTCTGAAAAAGTGAATTCTTAGTGAGGTGTGGGGTGCTGAAGTTAGAGCTGCAAGGTGGCCGGTGCGGCTGTGGTCTTCAGCAGACTCCCCCTCAAACCGTCTCCCAGATAAGACTTCTGAACAGAGTCCTCCTCGATTGCGATTCCTGACTGACTTGGCAGCCAGAGTACGTGCCAGTGTTGTGCAACCACTGCAAGACCTAAAGCGACTTCTACCTGCATCTGCTACCAGGAGTCTGTTGGACATGCACTGCTGATTCTTGACAGATGGCACATAAAATATAAGTTATATTTTATTTAAGTCTTAACTTTAAAACCATTAGTAGGAGATGGTTCCTGGGGTTACATGAAATGTTTCCGTTTCATGTGTATGATTTCACTCAAGGGAGGGAAGTCTATGTATTCTCCTGCCACAGCGAAACTGCACTAGGAATCCAGTTAGGTTCCTTATACTGGTTTTTCTTCCAAAGCCTCAAAGATGTGCCATGCGACTCTTTAATCTTGGAACTTGCATGCAAACTTGATTTCTTCCTAAAAAAAGACACAGATACTGTGAAAATATATCCCTTCCTTCCCTATGCAGTGAACAGCTTCATGTGGCCTTGTCTGCACACATTGTTTACAATATTGAATCGAATTTCTGTACTATGAAATTAAGTTGTCTTCAAATTATTGTGCCTTCTGGAGCATGCCTTTTGTTTTGTAAATTTGTTTTGTATATGCGTATAAGCTACATGACTTTGTTTTTATGCGAGTTACAGGCGTGAGTGGAGCCCTGCTGAGTGAGCACTGATCTTCTGCTCTGGCAAACCCAGCAGAGCAAGGTGTGAACGGGCCTGGTCACAGGCAGAGATGTCATTTTTTGTTTTAAGCAAGTTTGAAACTTGTCTGAATTTAGAAATTAATGTATAATAATGCATCATATATTGAAACAATAAATGAAAACAGATACTTTTTTGTATTCTCGTTTCCACTTCTGGGACCGTGTTATGATCGTGGATATGTACCAATATACAATGTAGCAAATTCTATTTACTGGTGACATAAAGGCTGTCTTTATAACCATTTTTTAATTCTTTGTTGATAGTGGCAGTTCTCTAAATTTCCAGTGTTCTGTTGCAAATACTATACAGTACAGTAACTTTGAACAAAACAATTCATTCAAGTCCACTGTCTCAGAAGAATGAAATCCAGCGGTGTTATTCAGTGCCCCTGAAGCTGTCAGGTCTCTATGATTGTAAGGATACTTGGGCTGTGTTTGTAAGCCTTGTCAAATATATGGCGAACACATCTGTTTCAGAAAGCTCTCATAGCAGAACAGGCAAGGTCAGCACCCTCCACACACTACAGAATCTACAACAGTTTTTTACAGAAGAACAGTTGCAGAGATTAAGTGCAGTGGGCTGTAGTGTGGAATGACTATTCAGTTGACTGATTTTTGAGTCCAATTTACAGAAGATGGTAAAACCATTTTTACTGGGTCAGGCTGCACAGTAGTAAGTCAACCTTGTGATTCCGTTCTTGTATCGTAAATTTTACACCTATGTTTTTGCCAAACCGTGGAAGGTATGAAGTGTGGCCAACTACTGAAAGTACAGATCAACCATACTGAAAATAAATGAAACAAGAACAATGAAGAGACTCCCAGGTTTGTAAGTCAGATACTTTAATGAAACAGGCAATAATTGGCACTTAGTGAAATTAAGTTAAATTGGCCCTGCACTCAAAACTAACTTGAATCATTGTTAAATGTTTGTTCAGCGCATCACAAACACACTTGGTGGTAGCCACTGCCAAAAGAAATACAAGAGTAAGGAAAAGTAACCTGCTCTTGAGCCATCAGGAGTTTTCTAGAGCAGTATGAGCCTGGACCCTGCACAGCCCAGCAACCCCTGGGATTCTCTCTCTCCCGGAGCTGAAACCAAGACCAGACCTGTTAATGGATGTAGAAACCCTTTGGAATCAAACCATTGATTCCAATGATCCAGGTCCAAGACCATAGCTGGTCAGTCCTCCATTAACTGGACATATTCATTATACTTGCCACATTCATCAAAACGTTACATTTTGTGCAAATCTTGTGGAAGTCTAGAATGAGCTGCCTATGCATGTTGCTAAATTTAGCTGACATTTTGATTTGTTTTAATAAACAGCTGGGTGAGATCCTCAGATCAATTAACTATTAGTAAACAGCTGACCTAGACTGGCCAAATGGCCCCACTCTTGTAACCATGTTCTTACAAAGTGACAATTAACGATAAGCTAGAAAGACCTGTTGACTTGTAGCTCTTCAGAGCCAGAACTAGCTGCGACTGAGCTAAAGGACAGTCCAGTCCTGTCTACACTCGAGCACCAATCAGTCTACTGTGTCGTTGACTGCCATCCTCTACTTGGGAATGGCTGATGAATTGCAACTTGGCCATCTCTGTAAATAGCATTAAGAATCTGACCATTAGTTCTGGTTAACAGGTTAAAGACAATATCTGTCAATCCCCACCTGCTAGCCTTTGGAAATGCTGACCGATCCCTGTGAAAATTTCCTATCATTATTGGAAACCTTACTGTTTAAGTGTGATATTAAATTTTAGTCTAGTGCATCTTTTATTTTATTTAAAAATTAATTTAAATTTGAGCAAATTGCATGTTTGATACTTGATGCTGGGGGAGTTATATGAAAATGTTTTTTTCCAGATTTTCTCCTGCTTCCAAAGGACACCTAGGTCTGTTTTCTTTCCCCACATCATCCACTTTAAAGAAACAACTGACTCCTCTGGAGTCCAGGAGCCTAGTGTGTATTATTGCTGTGGAAAGCAACTGGTTTGTCTTTAGATATTAGAATTTGCTTCATTTTGTGATAACATCTGTGGCAAAGAAACATTTTGAAGTACTGGTGCTCTTAAAATCATTCAGAATATGACTAATGTAGAATAATTAGCATTCCTTTCACTTTTTTATTTTAATTAATGCTGATAAGCAGACAAGGGAGATGCTGGACTGAGAACACAAATATTTTCCACTTTAATAAAGTTCCACTGGTTATAAAGCAGTATCACTTTCCCGAGCAGATCGTGTCTGAAAGGTGACTTGGAGTGTAATCGACTTGAGTAGTCCTACCCTCCCATGCAAGGAGTCTCCGTTATAAGCAGTAACTGGAATGCCTAGAAGACAGGGTTTTGTGTGGCACCAGAAGGAAAGCTTTTCAGACCTGTGGGCTGCTGCAGCATGTAGTGGAAAGAGCTTTCTGAAGGTGATACAGCACCAGATCAGGGTTCTTCCATGAGAAACACCTGCTCTTACCAGACTCAAGTTTGAGCAAATGTCCACAATGTCTGAGGAAGAGGCTGATCCTGCAGTGAAGGTAGCTCTGCCTGTAGTTGCTGGTGACTTCTGCCCGTTGAAGGGGTTAAACCAGTAGCAAACAAACTCCCCATTTTGTTCATAGAAATTGTTTCTCCGCTGTGTAAAGCACAACGGGTAAAGCATGACATCCTGCAGTCGGGCCACAAAGAAACGGAGAGCCAGCCAGGCTGGGGAGTTCCAGTCCTCGGAGCAGCTGGGCGGGCAGCTGTACTCTCGACAAGAGTCGGTCTCCAGCCGACCCCAGCTCCGATCGGCCCAGACCCCAGGGCTATAGCGTGGCCAGCACCCGCAGGAAGGAAATCACCAGGACGCAAAACGACTGTCCCACTCCGAAAACAAGCGCTTCCAAAGACATCATGGTCTTCCCAGCCGCCTTGTACACACCAGCTATAGCGGCACCTGCAGGCAGCAAGATGGGGAAATGCATGAGCACTCTCTGGTTTCTCTAGCATACGGACACATCTAATTCAATTTTTATATTTCAGGGTTAGAAAGGATCGACATTGATTAGTGCATTTCAAACCACAATAAAAATACTGTAACATGTGCGCAGTAACTCCAATTTACATCACAAAATAGACTGAGTTTCAAGGCATGCGCAGCGCCATGTTCTGCAATTCAGAACGAGGCAACGAGTCCCAGTGACTTGCATCGGGCTCCACGCACTGTGCACTATCAGGAAGCCGAGCAGAAAGGAGGAGTGACGTACTGGTGAGGACGCCCCCCAAAGCGGGCCCCACGATGCTCATGAGCAGGATGGCGAGGGGTGTGAAGCGTGCCACCTTGTGCTGCCGCAGGGTGACCAGGGCCAGCAGGGCGGCGGGCAGGTGGAAGGCCAGGGAGGACACCAGGGCCCACAGCAGCACGCCGTACCACATCTCTGAAACGACACCACGGACTGCTGAGTCTGGGGACGCCAGGCGCAGAGCCCCCAGCCTCACACTGAAGCTGTAGTGACCCTGAGGAATAATCTGACACGTGATTAGCACACTAACGTAAACAGGCTTTGGTGGGCAACAAAGTGGTGCTTATAAACTCCACAGCCACATTCCAGGTCAATAGGCTCAGGCTCGTGTGCTTATTTTGATCTCCTGACACCATGAAATAAAAAGAAGCAGCAGCAGCTCTGGCAAAACACATGGAGACACCCCACGCTTACTAAAGAGTCTCCTAGGATCACTGATGTATTTTCACACATTTTTTAATCACTTCTCAGTAGTTGAGAGAGTCTCTAGTCATTTATAATTTTCAGGTTTCTCTCTATTATTTCAGTCACAATTCTAACAGCCACAGCGGTCAAGCGGAAACTGACCGGCGATCAGTAACGGGTAACGCTGCCATTCTGCCGCACATCACACCACCAGCCGGCAGGGGGCAGCACCAGCCGCTGCACGAAGCCAAACCAATTTACCGGCCGCAGAAACAAAACTTCACCTCTTAAGACGTGAATACATGTAACCAAAAGAAAAACCGTCTCACAGAAGCATAATCTACCAGGAAAGACGCAAATAACTTCATAATGATGTGTTTCAAGCGTGAACATTTTTTTAAAGGCAAAACCGTTCCACAGTTATCTGAACATCCCAGTTGTGCCACTAACGTAACATGACAACGACATTAAAATCGAGAGCACTTCCTTGTGAGGAAGGTGTTGTGAGACGTTGTGCCGTGCAAACTCGACAGGATTTCTCTGCAGATCACTCGAGTAAGTAACTTTACACCGTTCCCATCTTGAACTCGGTCCAAAACATCACCCCTTCATCGAGTCTGTAGACCCGGCTCTAACCCCTGCGGTACGAGCGATGAAACGTGCGACGTGTCCCGACCACGACAGCTAACTCTCCTTCAAAAAGAGTGGGAAAACTCCGTTCGCGTTTCTTACCTGAGAAGTCGCACATATAAGTGCCGTTGTAGCAATGGGTGCCATTTTCCACCCTTGGGACCAAACGCAAGCTGAGAATTTGTTGTACAAACCCTACATAGTTGCCGTCAGAGCTGCCCGTCTGCATTGCTCAAGCCATGGAAGAAGAAGCCAAACACGAAGGTGAACAAATAGGAGCAACAAACTACTCCAGGAGTTGGTCGCCAGTCGCACGCACACCTTCTTCCTGGGTGGGAGTGAAAACAAACTCGCGGTTCGACGTCACCTCGTCCCACCGTTTGACCTGCAGTAACCCCTCTGCCTCTGTGACGCGTCCTGATTGACAGGCTCTCACGCAATCACCGGCGAGAACCCCCTCATCGAGGTGGGCTAAAGTGAAGTCACAACCAATCATGTGACGGTGATTAAAAAAATTTGAAGCGGCGTACGTAGTGGTTTACGAGAAGCACACAATATAACCACGGTTACACTTTAATAAGCAGTTTATTGCCTAAATTAATTTGTATCCAAAAAGATTACATGGTAAATCTGGACCTCAATCTTAAGTGAGTGCATTGTTAGATTATTTTTTTCACGGTTGTTTTATGTAGCCATTTCAATTATGCCACCCTTAAAATGTATTTGTGTTTTAACTGCTGTGTTTATTTTACAAATTATTAATTGCTTTGAATGTTGACGTCCTGGCTGATTTAAAGATCAACCTGTTTAAAGTTCAATGTGTGATGAAATGTCTTTTCTGAACGCAGCTCGGCGTGAACCTGCCAGGCTGCCGTAGCCGACGCTCAGGCCGCGAGAGCGGGGCGTGCTGTCTCTCGAGCCCGGTGGTGCGGGTACCTGCTCGGCGGAAGCACCGCTCTTTCCTCGGTGCACATGGAGGGAGCCACCAGCTATTCCGATTATGACTCCGAAGATTACTCCTCGGGTGCCGACGAGGACTATGTTCCTGCGGGTAACTAATATACACTTTATGCAACAGCTGAACGACGAGAAATGCAAAGTCGGTTGTGGATGTAGTTGAATGGTTAGCTTATGCTAATGCCAGTGTTGCAGGGTTGCTTTTGTCTTGCGAGTTTGACAGTTCAACAGTCGCATATTTCCTTCCAAACTAAAAAGAGATTGATGTAACGGTTTTAAAAACGGCTACAACATTTCACCAAGCTCAGTTCTACACGACTTCGTCTTCCGATAGCTTTAGATCCTGCCCGGTCTCGACTGAAGGTTCAGTCACTCAAGTGAGGCTTTTTAAACAGCACACAGTCTGTTTCCGCCGAGTAGATAGGGTCAATTGCAACGAACTTCCCGAGTTAGAGTTGAGGTTTAGTTAGTACGGTCCTTTCTGGAGATCATTTCCAGCTCTGAGTTCAATTGGAGTGAAAGTTCAGTTGAACTGGTGCTTAATCCGGTTCCCAGGGCTCGGCGTTGTTGTTGTACTAATTAGCACGAACTGCAGGGGACTGTGCATCAGAACATTTAAATTAATCTGATTAGTAGGTTAATACATAGGCCACGTTAGTAAATAATTATTACTTTGGCTGTTTCTTGTTTATATTTAAACGGTTAGATTTTAATAAAGCAGTTTATTGCCTAAATTAATTTATATCCAAAAAGATTACACGGTAAATCTGGACCTCAATCTTAAGTGAGTGCATTGTTAGACTATTTTTTTCCCCACAGTTTTTTTTTCTGGTTGTTTCTTGTTTATATTTAAACAAATTAATGTTAGTTTTTAATTTAAGGACTGCATTTAGGCTACAGTTTACCGGATGAGGGTGCGTAGTTATTAATGAGATACTCAATTGCAGTTAATCACGAAACAAATGGAACGCGTTTGGAACAGGACGCTCCCGCATTAGTGCGGCTTTAATTTCCTTTGTTAACGAGGCACCCCGGACGAACAAGCGGACTCATCGCTACTGCTAAATCGTTACAAAACACACCAACTAATGACCAGTAAAGTTAAGTTTTATTTTTAACAAACTTGAAATTAAATTTATAAAATTACTTGAGGGGAAATATTGTTCATCTGACCTAAGCATTTCTATTTTTTTAAGGTAATACATTTCTTTAGCATGGTGCTTTTGCTTACTTTTGAGAACTTAAATTTTCTCTGGAAATAATGTTTTCTCTCTCTCTCCTCCTGTGTCAGTAGGAGTTTCCAATTCAAATTAAGCTCTTTTTTTAGTCAGTTCCAAGATCTTCCTTTCAAAGCGGGGAAGAGCTCGCTGGTGTGTTGCTCTGCTAAGTCGTGTGGGCTGATCTTCTCCCTCTGCCTGGTTGTCGGGATCTTCTGCACCCCTCTCCTCCACATCAGCACTCTCCACTCCACTCCACCTTCGCTGTCAGAGTCAGTCTTGTCTTGTGGCTGCAGAGAATGTCCCGTCTGCTGGGATGATATATTTGAAATGTGTTCTAAGTTTGAGACAGTTGACGATCTTACAATATGTACTATATGTGCATGTTGTGAAGTGGTGAGAAAATGTGACTGTTGTTGTATCAATCCACCTGTCGAGTCTTTTTTATGTGGCACATCAGTCTGTGTTTGATGTGAAGGGAGCTGATGTCACAGTAGAGGAGAGGGAGGCAGAGTCTCCCACAGAAGCTTGTGAGGCTCCAGCACTGGCTTCCCCACTCCACTGTACCCCCTAAAACAAAATACAAGAGTAGTAAGAACGTGCACATGCTGAAATACAAAAATCGCAATATATGACGTACTTACTTGAGCTCCATCTTCACTTCCCAGGTCTCTTACAGCACCTGATTAAAGTACCAAACAGTATTGTTTTATCTTTTTCAGTTGCATACCTATTAGTGTGAGGCTGCAAAGATAGAAAATCTGTATAATTTCAGTTCTCTAATTTGGTGTCCACGTTGAACACAGGGTGGAGTAATTTTGGCAACTGAGACATTAAAATTAAAACATCTTGCTTCTCCAGAGAAGCCACCCTAGTATTTAAAGAAATGCATAGTCTTACCGTATGTATTTATTCCAGTGCCTTCCACTTCAGCAAGAAGTTTTGGTACTATTGACCTTATTTCTGCGCACAGCTGGGGCAGAGGCCTTACTGGCCTGCCTGACGACCGAAGGGCACGTTGCTGTGTCATGGCATTGCGGGCCTCGATTTTCAGCCTCTTCCAGAGGCTTTTTAAGTTGGTTATGCTGGACGGCCATCTTTCTGGGAAGCTGGCATGAAAGCTGCTAGTTACGGACTTCCAGGCATTGGTTCATTTCAGTATTGTTGTGGAGTCCTTTTTAGCATCCTCCACTGTCTCCACAACATTCTTGAAAAGCTCAATGAAATAGTTTTTTGAGCTAATGTGTAGTTCTGAACTCGAAGAGCCATGGTTGCAGTTCTTTCTTGTAAAGCAAAATGAGGCATTTATAGGCTATACACTAACGATATGTTATAGTCAGCTGTGATCTTACACTGGAAATTGTTTGCAAGGCTTTTGAACTATAAGGTCTTTGAAGTGTGAATTAATTATAAAACAATAGTTGGTTATCATGAATGAGTTTTGCAAACTGCCTGTAGAGCAAATATTTTCTGATCAATGTAATATTTAAAAACCATTATTAAAGTGCTTCTAAATTACAGATGTAATAAGTAAACTAGCTTCATTACTCGATGATCTTGGTAACAGTCCTGACCTTCTGCCCTCCACAGTCTGCTCCGCCAGCAGCCAAAGGCAATGAGTGGGCAACTGGAACAAATTACAATGCTCCACGACAGGTGTTCTCGTTGCTTTCTTTTATAAAGTTACACCACGTTGACAGAGTCACTCAAAATCTGCGAAGATGCTGAGCATGTATGTGTTCGAAGCGTACAGTCTGCCCAAATTATATCCAGTCGATATTGCAATTTGTATAATCCATTCATTGCATTTAGCGAATGGGAGTTTAAAATGCGGTACAGGCTTTCAAAGAATGGTGTCAGGAGACTAATTAAGATACTGAAGCTTCAACTGCGATCCAAGGGAAGAGGAGGGCATCCCTTGGACCCCACACCAAGTTTTATTAACTTTTTCATTGTGGTGGCAATATTATAAAAGTACACTAGGGCACCGTTTGCTGCACAGTTCACAGAGTCGCTGCAGCCATTGCGTCCCTACATACAGTACGACCTCCATTGCTATGGCAAATGAAGAGGAGAAACGGGGTATCTGCACAGCTTTTTACACTACAGTCGGAATCCTAGGAGTTGTTGGTTCTATTGATTGATTGTACACATATCCCTATCCCCACTTTCACAGGCGAAGGAAAGGTCCTGTTTACATCAACAGCCGTGGGTATGTGAACATAACCTGAGATTTCTCAATGTGGTAGCAGGTTGGGCTGGCAGTACACATGATGCTTGAATTTTCTGCAGCAGCCATCAGAAATCAATTTTGGAGGAAGGATTGTATTGTGGAGTTCTCATGGGTGACCATGATTATCCTTTATGACGGTATCTTCTGACACCTATGCACGATCCTGTGCCATTACAAGAACTGCACTATAACAGGAGTCATAAAAACGCAAGAAGCCACTTTTGGAATTGTAAAACAACGCTTTGCTTGTCTGTCATTTGGTTTGCGTATCAGTCCATCAAGAGCCAGCACCTTCCTCATGGCATGTCCAGTCCTACACAACCTTGCGATTGACTGGGATGAGCCACCTCTTCCGGCTCCAAGGCATGCAGCACACTCTGGCTGTTTCAACACAGTCATTACTGGAGCACAGCCACAGGACAGAGGAGGGACTATCATAAATAATTGAACTATCATAAATAATCACTTTTGAGATGCAGAGTTTCTTTCTTTCTTTCTTTAATGTATGCTTGCATTTGCCTAAAGATATTTTTCTCCATACCACCCATTTCCTCATTATCCCTGCTTTCCTCTGATAACCACAAATATGGAGACCCATCACAATGAAATATATAACAAATCTATTCAGTTGACTCCCAGATTTTATAGAACACATTAAAGGCTCGCGCTCCATTTATTTAACTATTTTCTTAAGTTCTGTTCTCTTCACTCCCTATCATATCTTAAAATTCCCAGCTACTAATAATAATTGACAATAAATGCAATTATTAGTAAATGACACTTTTGTTAATAGACATAAGTAAGTGTTGAGCAATTTAAGTTAAATGTTACAATAATTTTTCAAGTGACGGATGTATAAATTCAGTGCGTAGTGGCAATATTCCCACTATATTCGGGAGCCTTCTAATGCGATCTAGCATTACCCCAAGTATGGTACTTAGTTGCTTAAACTATATGAGGAGGTGGTTTAAGTTAGTCTGCTACTGTAGTTGCATCTAGAGAGTAGCAGCTGTTACTTTGTGTTCGTTGCAATTGAGAACAGGTTTAGTATGGTGCTGCGGAATAAGCACAGTGGCAAAGTTAGTTGCAATTGGTCTTAAGGCGCAGCACAAGTTTAGACCGCAGCTGCGTGCTAAGCACAGGTTGAACTCCTGTTAGTACGCGGCTTTCAGTTCATTGCAATTGACCAATATAGTCTTGGTAGTCCTGATTCATAAACATCCACCAGTTCAGCTGTGTATTTTTTATACGGCCTGGATTACAAATTGACTATCAGCCGGACACTTAGAATGAAATGCCGTTTGCGGGCTTTTGAGGAGAATTCCACAAATCCATCTGAATAGCTTCTCCCAACTCCTCAGGAGCTGCTGCTTAAAAGACACCTGCTAAACCTGAAAACACACTGCCTGTCCAGGAGCAGAATTGCACAAGACTGCTTTATTACACAGTGGTCAGCATTGCTGCCTCACAGTGCTGGGGTCCTGGGTTCAGTTCCTGAGGTGCTGTCTGTGTGGAGTTTGCATGTTCTCCTCATGTTCTTATGGGTTTCCTCCCAGTGCTCTGGTTTCCTTTAACAAGCCAAATGACCTGGGAAAACTGCCCCAGATGTGTGTCTGTGTGTGCCCTGTGATGGACTGGCGTCTCTAGTAATTGATCCAGGCTATACCCTGCCTTCTGCCCGGTGCTTTCCAGGAGAGACTCCAGCTCCCCAGTGATACGGAATTGGATGAAACAGTTAGACAATGGATGGATGATAACTTACTGAGGCTGATTCCTTGGGAGAGCCTGTACCTTGTTATTGCTTATAATAAAACAAAGAAGAGTTCCAAGGCCCAGCCCAGGCTAGTGTCTCTCTTGCTCCTGAACAGCTCAGCCCTGCAGGCCCTCAGTGGATAGAAGGAACTGGTGAGATGCCTTTCGGTTTTAACATCTAATTGGGTTTGGCCTGTAGCCGCTATGGCTGGAATGAGCAACTCCCTGTGCCTGTCTGCAGCACCAGGGATGTTCCTGGTCTGAGCCCAGTGGAGAGGAGCATGTAGATCTGATGCACCTGTCTCAGCCTGCTGCTGAATGTTCTTTCTCTGCGTGACAGAGGAGGAGCTCAGTGAAGATGACATGAGCGAGTGTGTGAGAGAGGACGCAGCAGGAGAAGAAGGCCAGGGGCATGCAGAGGACATGAGGAAGAGGAGGAGGAAAGGTGGCAAAGGCCTTGCAGTGAGGTAAGCAGGCTGGGTGACGCTCTGTCTCCTGGAGACCTGGAACAGGCCGGAGCCCCTCCTGCCTGCAGGACACTCCCTGCGACTGCCTGTCATCATTCATGGTCTCAGTACTCTTGTGGTATTTTGGAGGTTCCCAAGTGGTTCACACGGTAAAGGGGCTCTTCTGGGCTGCAGGCTGAACCTCACAATCTAAGTGGTAAATGGAGTCTGTTCCTGCAGCTTTATGATCACTGTGATTTGCCGTCATATAAAGACCCCAGTTTAAGAGCCTGGGGCTGCATGAGACCCCGGGCAGGGAGGGACCTGATTCGGGCAGACCTGCAGCCCCTGGTGTCCGGCTGGGGTCGCGGGAGATGGGGGCGGGGGGCAGTTCGGCTGGCTCACCGAGGCACGTCTCCTGGCAGGAAGCGGAAGAGAGGAGGCCTGCAGCCAGAGGGAGAGGAGGATGGGGGCGTGCCAGCGGAGGAGCCCGGGGGAGAGAAGCAGAGTGGCACCGGAGAGAGGAAGAAGGCTGACGACCTGTGGGCCAGCTTCCTCAGTGAGGTGGGGCCTCGACCCAAACCCGCCGGAGCGGCACAGAGCCAGCAGGTACCTGCCTTGCGTCAGCGAGTCCTCCTGGAGGGGTGCTCATTCTTCCTGCTTCTTGTTTTGCATTTCAACCTTTTGGAATTTTTGCACCTTATTAAAATGTTTCCTACACCTTTTCTCTAAATTATTACAGTTTTCTGGACAGATCAGTAGAAACTAACCTGGTATTGTAGGTAGTGTTTGTTGTGCATGGAACTATTCAATTATTAAAACCTGCAGTTCTACCAGTCTTCCAGGGACCTTTGTGAACGAAGTCAAGGTGCTTTATGTAATCCTGCAGGTTTTCAGGCAGCTGCAATAGTGAGTTTTTTAACATACACTGTTAAGAAATGTCTGGTCTGCTTTTTTCTCAGGCTGTGGGTGGTGATGAAAACCAATCCAGCAAGACAGATGCAGCGCCAAGAGAAGTTAAAAATAAAGAGCCATCAAAAGTCACAATAACAAAAGTGTTTGATTTCGCAGGAGAAGAAGTTCGGTAAGTGTGCACATGATCAGTGACAATAATGCCAGACTTCACGCAAGTCCTTGTGCATCCACCAGGTGGCAGCATCTCTCTATGCACTGGACATATGAGGGTTTGCTGTGGTGTGGGTGTGTGACAAGTGTGTCTTCATATGCAGCCAAAATGGAACTTAGGGGAAAAATGTAGAGCAGGTGTTCTCATCTTTCCTTCAGTGTCTGATTTATTTGGTGTAAAACAGAGGATGGTTTAATGTAATGACTTTAAGAGCCTGATAAGTAGGAATGTACTCTTGGTAATTTTGAAGGCAGTCATATTCCCTGCACAGTAAGCTCACACAAATCCAAAAATGTCAACCCACCTTATTGTCTTATGCACTTATTTGATAAAAACGAGTTATTGTACACCGCTATCTCAGTCCTGCATGGTATTGAAATTGAGGTTATTTAAATGCCTGTGAGCAAATGTTTTCACTGTTCCCGTGGCAGAGTTAGACTTTTGCTTGGGAGAACAACAGAGCAGTGATTCCTCTCTGTTACCATGAAACACGGAGAAGAACCATGCATGTGGTTGTTTTGTTTTCCCACGAAGAAAGAGGCTTTGTTTCCAGTGTCATCCGCTCTTGAACGCACTTGCCACTGCGTGGCTGATGCGCTCAGCTGAGCTGCCAGACAGACAGCTGCAGGTGTCCAGTCATGGCCATTGCCTGAGGTCAGCTCATGGTTGTACTGAATGGCCTGAGGACTGGGTGTATGGCTTTGAAACTGTGGCCTCGAACCTTGAGCATCTGTGTGTGTGACCTGCACCTGCAGGCTGGTGAAAGCCCGGTGAGGTGCTGCAGTGCTTTGTGTTGCTGTAATCGCCTGTGGCTTTCACCTCCTAGCTCTCCCGGTTCCCAGCCGATTGCTCAGCCACTGTGCCTTCAGCGTGGTCACAGCAGAGGTCGGAAAGCACTGTATTTATTCCTGTCACACGCTTCTCATACAGAGCGCCAGTGTGGCTCAGGGCTCAGGGTCGGGGGTTAGCAGACATCCGTTGTGCGTTATACAGTTGAGCCTTCGATCGTCTCAGAGGGAGTGGAGCCCAGGCTCACAGGCTTGAGTTGCTGGTGCTTTTAATAATTGAACAGGCCACTGGAAGGTGACATTTACTGTAGGAAACTGATTGAGCTGTGACAGTAGTTTTACTGTCTGGCCTGATTGAGCTGTGACTGATGAAATGCACTGCCCTGGTTCAAGTCCTCCTACGCAGGAGACTGACCCCAGCTTCTAGTCAAGGGTTTCTATGGTTCCATAATTTTCCCTGATTTTCAAAAGTTGGTGGATGTATTATTAATGAGCAAAGCTAGTTTTGTGTGAGTGTATCCAAATTATATTTCTATTTTAATGGGTGTACAATTGTTATTACTGATGATTTTACAGATTTTGACCTGCCAGTGCCTCAGCAAGTGACTTGGTCCCTTTCATTGATCTGTCCTTCCCACACAGAAGAACAGAAGGCACTTCTTTACGCACAGGGTTGTGGGAGTATGGCTCTAGCTCTGAAGCCATGTTGTTGAAGCCAATATCTTGAAACAGCTGGATGAGATCTTTAGACCAATTAGTAGCGGATTACCAGACAAGCTGAAAGGGCTTCTCTTCCTCGTTTGTGATCTTCCTTGCAATAATTTCTCCCAGGGTGACAAAGGAGGTGGATGCTGACTCCAGAGAAGCAAGGTCATTTCTGAAGAAGAAGGAGGAGGAGGAGAAAGAGCAGCAGACAGGTCCGACCAAGCCAGTGGTCCCCACGCTGACACCTGGACCCAGGTACCCCTGAGCGCCTTAGACACCTGTTCCTGCTCACTCGCACAGGGGCACCAGGGCACTGGGCTTGATGGGAACATGCTCCCCTCTCTCCCAGCAGTGCCTGTTGCCAGACTAATCCTGATACACAACCTGAACACTGCTGCAAGTTTCTCCTGATGCTCTTAATGTGGTTGAAGTACTACTCGGCTACTTTATCTCACTTATTCCAGCTCCTGTTTGAGAAAAGCAAACACCAGCCATCAGTTAAAAGAAATCTGAGCAGGCAAGCATTTCTCACATCATGTTTTGCTTTTTTGAAAAGAAATTCCAGCATTCCTCGGTTTCGCCAGGCTTTCTCAGTCCGGTTGAAGAGACTGAGGCGGTGCAGGCATCCTCCATACCAGGAGATATTGGCTGGTGTTGTTTTTTTGGTCCACTATTGATTTTTTTTAGAACACTTTCACAGTCCAATGCCATAATTTTGCTCTTCAACAGAAAATAATCTTCCCAGAATGAAAGATCAATATTGGTTTTATTATCTTAATGTATTCCTTCCCCCATCCTCTCTCCGCTGCTCAGCTGCCCTGGGCTCTTAGCAAACTCCCTCCATAACAAATAACAAATCCATGTGAAAATTAAGATTTAAAACAAAAGTGAAAGCGCTTCGGTTGAGATGAGTCTGTACCCTGATGTGAGATGAAATGAATGAAAGTTGCTTGTTTGTGTCGTGTTAAAGGACTGGTCTGTGCGACATTGGCATTGAAAGGGCTTTCAACAGTGTTTGCATGTCTTACTGTCGCTGTGTTTGAGAAATTGAAAAAAAAAGTCATCGCTCCCACACAAACCTTTCAATGCTAGTTTGCCAGCAAGCTGGCTTCACAGTCTTTGCTCTGCAGGGATGAAAGACTGCTGGTTGTGAACCTGAGAGAGCTGGACTTTTTCTGTTGACTTCGCTCCTCGGTGCTGGTGTGTTTCAGACATGGCAGGCATCAAGCGTGGCAGTGGGAGTGACTGTCCTGGTGTTGGTTCTGGGGTGTTGAGGAGGGTATCCTCCCTTTTGGGAGATTTGGGTGTTTGGAAGAGCCTGTCAGAGCTCAGTTCAGACTGGGCCCCCTCAGCTCTCAGCGCATGGTATGTTATCATATACAGCTGTCACTATGAAGGACAACAAAAGACATGTTTATGCGAAAGGGCCGAGTGAGTGTGGAGGAAACTGCCCAGCCATATTGTTGAAGCTGATACTCCAGCTTCTTTCAGGGAGAGGCTGAATGAGATTTTCAGATCCGTTAGCTACAACTACGGAACGGGCCAGATGTTCCAATGGCTCCTCTCGCCTGTGACGGGTCTTGGGGACGGGCGTGTTTTCCTCTGAGGCAGTCAGCAGCACTCCAGCCAAGAGTTTTCCTCCCCGGGAAGAACAGAGCGTCCTGAGGCACTTCCTGCGTTTAAAGAACTGCTTACCTTCGACAACAGGAAATGGCTTTAATCTTCTTGGCCCCCATGGGAAAAAATGTTGTGCTTAATTAAGTTTTTTTTTTTCTTCCTGAAGGCGATTTAGGAGATTTAGGGGATTTCAATCTAAAGAGTTGAGAGAGAGATTTGGACCTGCTAGTCAGTGTTTTGTGTGGAAAAAGTAGAAATTGTGTCATGGAATGGTTTGTTTTTAAAACTCAGATTCCAGTGTCCTTTCATAGTCCTGATAGGTAGAACTGTCATAGCCAGAAGGATCCAGAATTCCTTAATAAAGATGGAGGCCAGCCAGGCAGCACAGAGAGTGTTGTTCCACTGCTCTGGTCTTGCTGGGGTGCCAGGGTATGGGGTGCTCTCAGCCAGGCGATCTCAATTGAGGATGCAGCCTGCGTCACCTCTCCAGGTGTAAAATTGCAGGCCTGATCTGTTGAGTGCTTCGTGGTTTCCTGTAGCTTGGTTCTTCAGAAACTGCAATGAGACTTACTGGACACTCTCAGCATATACTTGTGTTTGGTGCTGCCAGCGTTCTGAAGTGCAGTGCTCAGTCCTGTTCTAGTTCAGGCCAGGCTGTGGCAGAGGCCCTGACACAGACTCTCAAATTCCTATCGGGTTCCCTGGGAGAGAAGCTTTGGGCTGCTGTTGCCAGCTGGAAATTTTGCAGTGTGCTTTGAGGTTGGAGCAGGAAAGGGCTGAGTCAGCAGTCTCGTAGCCAGAAATACGCAGTGCTGGTTTGAGATCCGCTAGTTTTAGTTAATAGCACTTCTTAAAGAAACAGCTTGTTCTTTTTTTTTTATTTCTGCCTTTGCCTGTAAATTGCAAGCTCGCTGATTGTCACTAAAGCTTACTTTGTGCAGGGGATTGGAGATCTGAGCAAGGCAATGTCTTGCTGATCAGCTGGGGGCCGAGGGAGTGATGCTGAAAGCTGTGCTGCTGCACCAACTGAGCAGAGCTGCCTGGTTACTGGAGCAGAAATAAAACTCAGTGGTTTGTTGCTGACCTTTCCAGTTCTGTGGTTGCCTCATAAGCAACAGCACATTTTGAAAGATCAGCTAGCTGCATTGCCGAAAGCCAGTGTGACGAGTGAATGAGAGTGGGAACGTGACTTTTTAGACTGTTAGTCTTGGGAGTGAACAGGTTTCTCTGGGGGCCCTGAGTTTCCCCTGATTTCCAGATCAGTTTGGGACCCACACACTGTTTCTCACAGTTATGTGGCTTTATTGTGACATCGCCAGAATCTTTTCCCAAGCAGGCCGCCCCTCCATAAAAAAATGATTCAGCACTCTCTCTGCAAATGACTCTTTCAAACATCCGGCAGCGTAGGTATCTTTGAAAAATGCTTTGCATCCAGAGTCGAATACTGGGAGATGTAATGAGGCTTGAATTATTTACAGCACGTACTCTTGACTCTGAACCAAGGAGCACTGGCATTACAGGGCTTAAGTAAGCGTGTTTCACAACCTTGCTATTGTGAGATCTGCTGATGTACACAGCTGTTTAATGTAGTTTTGATTTTGTGTACGAGTTTTGTGCTGTGAAACTTGGGAAGGATTGAGGCTTTGTCTCTGCAGCTGAAAGATTGTGCAGTGCCTGAGCCCAACAGGCAGGATGAACCGCCCCTGTGTCTGTAGTGCTGCTGCAGTGCCATGTTCTGGCCTGTCCTTCTGTTTTTCTCTGGGCTTCGGTTGCTGCAGCGATCCTGAGTTCCCTCATTGTCCAGGCTGTCCTTCTGAAGATTCCCGTACTTATGCAGGGCCATCCCAAGACCCCTTTGAAGGTTAGTTAAGAATTAGTTAGTTGACTAGGCAACTGGCTGATCATATTCCAACATATTGTCTCTCCTGGTACAGAGAGAGAGAGCACTCTTCCCTGTCACTCCACTCACTTTGAACCCCCTACTGCCATGAGACAGCCTGGTTCCTGCAGGGTGTGGATGTCCAGACCCTTCATCTCTCCAACTGGCTGTAGTTCCCAATGCTGCCCAGCTGTGTGCCTGAGTTTCTAGAAAAATGCGGGAAACTTTGCCGTAACACTGAGAAAGTAAACTGCTATCGGCAAGTTGAATATAAAATTGCTGTGTAGTGATGAAACCTAGAGCAAGATAAAAGTTAAGTTACCTGCCAGGGGTCTCAGCTTTCCTGTCTTGAACTGTAGTGTCTGTAGGAGCCCGGTTTTGAAGCACTGTTTTAATCTCCTGATTTTCCCGGGGATTGTTTGATGCAGTACATTAATGCCAGCCCAGCCAGGCGGATTAACATTGCCGCTGAGTCTCGGCAGCCTGTGTGGGCTTTGCAATGCTTTTGTATTTCCCTGAGGGGCACTTCTTGGTTGGCTGATACCCGTCCTGCTTTGGCAAATGTTTACAGGTAATAACCTTCTGCTGGGCCTTACTCTTGCTCATCTTGCCGTCCCTGTGTGCCAAACAAAAGCCAGCTGTTTGCATATCTTGCCATCACTGTTGTGCTAAATACTCAGCCTTCAAGCCCAGATCAGAATTTACATTTTTCCAATTAAACCTTGGCAGACCCTGACTTTGGCTCAGTCCTGTTGATGAAAATGGCCCATATGCTGGGCTCCTTCAGGGCACATAAACTACAGGTATGGGAGATACCTGTGCTTGTTATGGAATTAGGGTTAGTGAGGTGCACAGTCGAGTGGCCAGGGGGCGCTCTGACACCTTGTTTGGCCTTTTCTAAATTTCCTGTAAATCGTAAGCGGCAAGGGACTTGATGCACTGCCTGTTCTTCTAAAGAACTGAACATCTCTTTGCTGTCTTGGTCTGGTACATCTCGCTCCCCTTGTAGTCGACTGGTCTTGGGCAACATTTTCTCTGACGTGTCCCGGAGTGAGCTTCAAACACATGGCCAGGTGGTTTATTTTTGTACACACGCTGTATAAAGGTGTGCCCTTTTTTCCAGTAGTAAGGAAAGTACTACTCCAGTATGTCCAAACTTTGGCAGCCAGAATCCTGACCAGGCCTAGTGCAAGTGATCACGTTACTTCATTACTCTTTTTAAGTTGTAGGTTTAATAACATGTCGTTGTTGTTCTGTGTTTGTTTTTGGTAATTACTTAAAGTCTTTGTATTGGATCATACATGCAAATAAGCATTTAATTACACTTGTGCCTATGACAATAAGCTAAACTTAACAGTACTCCTATCCTGGAGTCCTTGCACTGGCTTCTTGTCAGATTTCGTGGCGACTTCAAAGTCCTCGTGCTCACCTCTAAGGCTCTGCTTGGCTTGGAGCCTCAGTACCTGTCTGAAGTGCTATTGTCTGACTCCCCAGCTCACAACCTTTGCTCTTCTAATTCTGGTCTCCTATCTGTCCCCCAAGCCCGTCTATACCCTGTGGGTGACAGGGCCTTCTCCTGTTATGCTCCAAAGCTATGGAACTCTCTCCCCAAGGATATCAGAGAGTCACCTTCTCTAAACTCCTTCAAATCCAGGCTCAGAACCTTCTTCTTTAGATGAGCATTTTTATTTTGTTATTGTTTTGTAAAGCGCTTTGAGAAGCCACCTTTAGAGGTGCTATATAAAATAGTTTATTATGA